CTAGGACAGACAAGGACATTGGGAATGCCCACTTCATTATACAGACTAGGGGGAAAGCGACCAGGAATGAGAAACTCGCTTAAAGCCAGGCACCAAAGGGGCTCTTGAGTTTCAGTATTTAAAACCTCCATGTTTTTCTGTTTAAAAATAGATGGCATAGGTAGTAACCAGGAAGCCCTAAAGGAGGCTTGGAGGGCTTTCACAACCAGGTTCCAGGCTTTACAGAGCTAAATCTCCCCTCACAAAGCAAAGCAGGTATTTTTTTCCTTAGAAGTAATTAAGCTCCCAGCAGTCCAGGAGGCCGAGGCAGGAGGATTGCAAGTCTAAACCCAGCTTGGGCCAACTTAGCAACTTAGTGAGGCTTTGTCTCAAAATAAAAAGGCGCTGGGGTTATCGTTAGTGTGAAGGCCCTGGATTCAATCCTCAGTATTTTTAAACAGGAAGAAGGGGATGCGGGGAGAAGATGTGACTGAGTAGGTATCGAGTTGAATTTACCAGGAAGCTACTGAAGCTTACACACTGCAGGCTCCTCACTGGCACCAGCCCTTCCCTAGCTAAGGTGTCCACAATTCAGAGTATTTAAGGTTATTCACTGCCTAGGAGTTCTGCAGCTCTGGTAAAATCACACCTGAAACTTGATTAGGATTTTCCCAAACTTGACAACAATACTAAAACCACCAAAGTTGTCGATCTGACATAAAATGTTGCTAAACTATCCATTTTCCACCAGTGTTGCTAGGGATCAAACCCAGGGCCTCATGTGTGTTCTACCACTGACCTACAACCCAGCCCAATAATAAAATTTGAGTGACCATATAAAGACAAAGTTGGCTTTCTATTTTCCATTTAATATGGTTTTACAAAATATTTGTATGAGGAAGGGATAAGAGAATGTAGGAGAAAAGATTCTCAAAAAAATAAATTAATTTTTTTCAAAGTTTGTGTGCTTTAAATTTGGGGAATGGTGATCCTCCTTTAAACGTAGTCACTTTGGATTCATGTTTTCATACTAAATAAATGTTCATGAGTATATCTTAGTCTGTATTTTATTATTCTTGTTTGCTTAATTGCATAAGAGACACTCATTTATCCTGCTCAGTGAGCTCTCATTAAAAATTAGTTATTATTGCTAATATTATTGTCATCCACAGACCCACCCAGGAAGGTTTGAGGATGAGCTCTTTGAGGGCTACTATTGGCTTAGGGTGTCAGAAGCCATTGTTCTTAGCTGCCTGTTTACTCATCGGTCCACTTCCCATCTAGTGCACAAGTTGCATTGTACAACATCGTACCACACAGCATAGCGAGGGTCATTAAGCACCCATTCCACGCCACACCCCAGTGGGGCTCTGGAGACAAGCTAAGAGTGGTCCAGATGTGATCTTCAACTCCACAGGGCTTACACTTGATGAGAACCATCCTGGAATTTATCTGAGGTTTTCAAAAATCTAAGGGCTGGGTATTCAGCTCAGTGGTTTCGGCGCCTGCCTAGCAATCGCAAGGTCCCAAGTTCAATCCCCAGTACTAAAAATAAATAAATAAATAATCAGATTTAAAATGTGTCTACAGGATCCCAACACCATTTTAAAAATGAAACTTGTCACAGGAAAAAGTTGAAATTGTTGTACAGTGAACACTCATAGACCCACTGTGTAGGGTTATACATTTTCTTTTTAGAGACAGGGTCTCACGTTTCCTTGGTTAACCTCAAATTCATAAGCTCAAGTGACACAGCTGCCTCAGCCTCCCAAGTATCAGGGCCTACAAATGTTCACAACCATGTCTGGTTTATTCTTTTTTTTTTTTTTTTAGGGTCCCTCTACGCAGCTCAGGGAGACCTCTAACTCACAGTGATCCTCCTGCCTCAGCCTCCCAAGTTGCTGGGATTACAGACATATGCCACCATGGCTAACCGGGTTCATTCTTACCATTCTTAAATTCCTATAATTTGAAAAAAAAATCATCTAGAGTTTAATTTTGTCTTTTTTTTGGGGGGGGTTGTTTTGTTTTGTTTTGTTATTTTGTACCAGGGATTGAACTTGGGACCTTGTGCTTGCAAGGCAGGTGGTGGGAACCACTGAACTAAGTCCCTGGCCCTAGAATTTAAGTTTTTTTTTTTTTTTTTTTTTGGAGACAAGGTCTCTCTATGTAGTTGACACTGACCTGGAACTCACTATGTAGCCTAGGTCTCAAACACACATCGATCCTCCTGCCTCAGCCTCCCGAGTGCTGGGATTACAGGCGTGCGCCACTACACCTGGCTAGAATTTAATTTTGAAAGCTAGTTCTTTATGTTTAATCTTTATTGAAGCATAATTCACATATATGTCCCGTCTATTTGAAGTGTACAATTCCACGGTTATGTCTTCAATATGTATAAATAACTCCATGGCCAATTTTGCAGCTTCTCTTGAGACAAGATTGCACTCTGCAGACCCGGCCATGCTCACCGCCCTCCTGCCTCAGCCTCCAGTTCCCAGGTCTCTTATTTTCTTTTTGGGGGGTCTCTTATTTTCAAGACAACAGGGAAAGAGTGACAAAGTCAAAGCTGGGCATAGCAGTACACACCTGTGAGCCCAGCACTCTGGGAGGCCGAGGCAGAAGGGTCTCGAGTCTAAGCCCAGCTTTCACCATTTAGTGACTTAGTGAGACTCCATGAGCTGTGATGCCACTCAGTTACACCAATGTAGGATAGAATAAAATTACTATATTTGTATGGATGGGAGGATCCCGTGAGGCACAGGGTCCACAGCCCTTGGAAGTTGGAAGGTGACTGGAGGCAGAGGAAGGCAGGGCATAGCCGCCACCCAGGTGAACTCCTCAGGTGGGATCCCCACACTGGTTTCCATGGTGGCTGTACCAGTTTACACTCCCACCAACAGTGCAGCAGAGTTCTCTTTGTCCTGCCACCCCACCAGCACTTGTTGTGGTTTCAGTTTTTGGTTTTTGGTACTGGGGATTGAACTGGGGACCTTCCTCCTACCTCAGCCTCCTGAGTGCTGGGATTACAGGTGTGTACCACCATGCTCAGCTGGTTTCAGTTTTTGATGACAGCTGCTCTGGCTAGAGTAAGGTGGACCTAGGAGGTGATAAAGCTTCGGACCAACAGCCGCCATAAGCAAGGGTAGCAATGAATGCAAGGCCACATAATCGCCATGGCTACTACCAGGAATCACCAAGGAGCAACAGACCTTGTCAGTGTAGACCCGGGGTCCAGCTCATGCTGATGTGAGCTTATTCAACATAAGACCCACACACTCCTGGTAAAGAGGAGATGGAAACAAAATAACCTCAGGGGGAGGGAGAGTGAAGGGGTGGGGCCGTGCAGAGCACTCAGAGTGCATCCGTTGTGTGTATTTTAAGGTGTGTGTGTGTGTGTTGAGGCCTTAAACTATGTAACCCAGGTTGGCCTCACACTTGTGGCAATTCTTCTGCCTCGGCTTCCTGAGTGCTGGGATTAAAAAGTCTGTTTTAAAGGCTGTGTAAACTGAGGCTGGGTTTGTGGCTCAGTGGTACAGCACATTTTTGGCATCCCTGGACCCTGGGCTCAATCCACAGAAACATGGGGGGACAGTGCATATTCAGTTCCGACTCAGCAATAGCACTCCATGAATACGTTGGTCAAAGCAGGTTTTGTTCTAGGAATAATCTCAAAGTTCAGTGATTTAACTCGACAAATGTTCATCTGATCTTACTTTGTTACTGAGGTTCGAACACCGGGCTGAGCTACACCCGCAGACCTTTTAGTTTTAAAAATTTTGAAACAAGACCTTGCTAAGTGGCTAAGTTGCCCAGGCTGGTCTGGTCTCAAACTTTCGGTCATCCTGTCCCAGCCTTCCAACACGCTGGCATCAAGCGGGCCCACACCCGGCTGCCCACGCTCAGCTCAAGTGTGCTGTTTCCACGAAGGCCAGCGCCCGGCTCGCGTTCACAAGGTGCCCCGGGGCTCAGGCTGCCTCCGGTCACTCCCTTCCCAGCGCCCCCGCCCAAGCACGGCGAGGAAGTCGTGGAGGGATGGCCCAGCGGTCTCCCCGCGTGCAGAGGGTCACACGTCACACTGTCACCCGCCAGACAAGCCCCGAGGCCACATTCACCTTTGAAGGACAGTGGGCCGACGGCGCCCCC